CAGGCCGAGGCAAGGAGGCAGTCCTGAAACCAGCAAAATCAGGGAGCTGAACAGGGGACAGATTGTATTTATCTTAAGTGTGGAAGGAATTGTCACGCTTGAATTGGCCTTCTCAGCCACGTTAGATACTGTTCCAAGAGCTCTATTCAGAGCACATTACCGTAATCTCTCGAGACTGAAGGATGCCTACACATACACACATCCCTGCTCTGGAGAATCTCATCCAATTTCTTCATAGCTAATCTTTGAAGCCTTAGTTTTCTTGTATGCAGTCTTCATTTGGATTGATGGTTGAACTGAGGTACAGAAAATCTTTTAACAATTTTGCTTTCTTCATTGTTAATGTTAAAGTTGTGTAGTTATTCTGTAGTCATGATTACTGCCTTCTTAGTACTTAACTGCAGTCCTGATTTGGCACTTTCTTATTTCACTTTCATCACAAATACAGCAGTGCCTCACAATACGAATTTAATTCGTTCCCACGAATTTAATTCGTTCCGCAGTTAATGTCCTTGCGAAAAATTCATCCTGCAAAATGCATTTTCCCATTGGAATGCATTTAAATCTAATTATAATGCGTTCCTATGGGCAAAAAAGTCAGAACAGGAAACCAAAAGGATATACAGTGGTGCCTCGCAAGATGAATTTAATTTGTTCCGCGGTTAATGTTGTCTTGCAAAAAATTCGTCTTGCGAAACACGTTTTCCCATAGGAATGCATTGAAATCTAATTAATGTGTTCCTATGGGCAAAAAAAGTCAGAACAAAGTCAAATTTGGTTTACAAAGGGTTTATTAAGTGCTCTTTAAAGCCATACATAATGTGCAGATGATTTAAAAATTTCAATCAAAAAACTTTTTAAACATCATAGAAAAACATTTAAAAATCAGCATGAGGCAGGAACAAAAAACAGAAAACATTCGTCTTACGAAGCACGGCCATAGGAACATTCGTCTTGAGAGTCATCAACCCCATTGCCAAAGCCATTTGTCTTGCACGTTTTTTGTCCTGCGAGGTGTTTGTCTTGCGAGGCACCACTGTAATTGCTGCTTTCTACCAGTGATATGGTGTCATCTGCATAACAAAATTATTCATGTTTTATCCCCCAATTTTCACTTCTCCGTGATCAGAATTTAATCCATTTTCCCTCTGATCTGTTCTGCATACAGATTCAAGAGACAGGAACCACTGAGAGTAGTGGGCATGACTAAGTATGGCAGTATACAAGTGAAAGAAAGAAAGAAAGAAAGAAAGAAAGAAAGAAAGAAGAAAGAAAGAAAGAAAGAAAGAAAGAAAGAAAGAAAGAAAGAAAGAAAGAAAGAAAGAAAGAAAGAAAGAAAGAAAGAAAGAAAGAAAGAAAGAAAGAAAGAAAGAATACAGTTGCTAAATTTACACAGTGGGATATTCATATTTTATGCAAATATGTGTTTTCTTTTTGTCCTCTTTTTGGGGTGATGTGGAAGTGGCTGTGTGCTCCACCAAAAGGGCAAAAGTAACTGGAAGTAGCAATGGTAAGAATACGCCTGAATTCATCGTTATCATTGATTTAGGCTGTTCTGATAGGTTACACCTGGATAAGCAGTTCTCAGGCTGCACAAGATTCTTCATCTTCTGCATGAGAATGACAGAAGGACACCCCCCCAACACACATCAAAGTTTTTGCAATTTATGGAAAATGCCTCGGAGCAGTATACACAAGCCAAGGACCTTTCTCTTTGACATACAGTACAGTATATGTATTCCTGCTTGGCACTCCAGGCAGGGATCGGGAGGATGAGTCTCCCCACACGGCTGCGGAGTGGCCAGCTGTGCAATGAGACAGTGGAGCTCCGGGTGCTATTGGCAGAAGAGTGGGACCTTTGCAGTGCCGGGATGCGAGAGTGGATGGTCCTGCCCCAGGGGCCGGACCCTCATTGGGTCCAGCTGGAATGGGGATATCCGTATTCTTTTATGAATACAAATATCCCCATTTCCACTCACAATTGATGCAAAACCATTATAGCTGCTGGAAGACCCAGTGGTTTAAGCATCTGGCTGCAGAGCCAGAAGTTGGTCGTTTGATGCTCCACTGTGCCTCCTCAACAGGGGCTGGACTCCTTCCAGCTCTGCAGTTCTATGATGATGATGATGATTCTTATTATAAGCATTGGCATTAGTAGAACATCTGAATGTGTCAGTATACCACTGTGCTGTGCTTCTTTCCAATTGCCTGTATCACTAGCGTTGATACTTTTAAGTCTAAAGCGTACATTTAGACGCTAAAGCAAAACAAACTTTACATAGAATTAGTCAAAGGACACACATCTGAGAAAAGAAAGGACAGTACACTAGGAGTGTTTTGTACAAGTGTTCCCCTACCCTTATTTCTCAGAAATTAAGAATGTACATGAAATCCTAATCAGCTTGTTAAAGAGACATATTATTTATAGAGAACAGCAGAAAATCTTCAGTAGGAAATGTGGATTTTCCACACCTCTGTGTACGAGTAGTGTGTAGGATTTATCCTCTCTCTCTCTCTCTCTCTGTGTGTGTATGTGTGTGTCTGTGTCTGTGTCTGTGTGTCTGTGTATAATTTTAATCATTAATGCATATACATACTTTTTCTAATTTTTATGTTTTGCTATCAATACGTAAATATAATGTTTGTAAGCATTCCTGGTGTATTACATGTTTTCAGAAATATTTTTAGTAACAATTCTCTCTTTTTAAAAATGTTGCATATTTCTTTCTATTTATAGTTGCACTGAAGAGGAAGGAAACTGTATCCTTCAAAACAAGTTGGGGATTGTTAAACACCGACAGTTTCTCTCTCTCTCTCTCTCTCTCTCTCTCTCGGTTTTGCTCTTTTATCTAAAAAGGTATAAACGAAGGTGTGTCTGTACCCATATTAAATGGCCTGCTCTAGTGTAGGTAGCCAGCTCAAGGTTGATTCATCCTTTCATCCTTTTGAGGTTGGTAAAATGAGTTCCCAACTTGCCAGGCGTGGGGGCAGACAATGTGTAATCTGCTTAATTTTTTAAAAAGTAAACCACGCAGAAAGTGCTTTAAGCACTTTGCTTTTGCGTTTTGATAGCACTTGAACTGCTATAGGTTCATCCTATAAAATCCTGAAGTCTGTAGTTTGGTGAACTATCTTACTGAGGTAGTTGAGCAGCACACATAGTTGTAAGTTTCACTGTTGTTTGTGGCAGATTTGCAAGAAGGTGGAGATTGGATACTTCCCTTTGTCACTGGATTGCTATTTTACACTTACAGTTTACATAATCATGTGATGTCAAGTCAATTCTGACCTACAGCGACTCTTTTCAGGATTTTCCAAGTAGACAATACACAAAAGTGGTTCATTACTCCCTTCTTCTGGGGGCGCCCTGCCCAAGGCCACACAGGCTGGCTCTACTTGCAGGAGGCACAGTGGGGAATTGGGCTCCCAACCTCTGGAGCCAGCCAGCCACTAAAAGTTTAAAACAGTAAGTTTGTAAGTTAGTATTTTTAATTAATGCTTGTTTGCATTTTACTTGGCTTGAGCTCTTTGGTCAAAGCACAATGTGTTTTCCAAGTTGAATTTATATGCTCTGAATTAAGCACCATGCAGGTTCGGTCATGCCCCATAAACTTAATTGTGATATTTTATTAGTGGTTTGGTTTGGATGTCTAGAGTTTACGAGGGCATTTTAAATCAGAGTGGAGCTCTTTTGAATATAAAAAAAACCACAGTACCTACAAGAATATGTTGAAAAGCCTCTCTCTCTTTCAATTCACTAAAATACAAAACTGAATAGGTGTGCCTGAATAAGTGCAGTTACTGTGGGAGGAAACAGCCTGATAACAGTTCCACAGTGTATATATAATTACAATGTGTCACTGGTTGTGTTTTGGAGAACAAATAATAATAAATAATAAGAAGAGGCACAAAACGTTTTTAAAAATTCACTGTGTGTCTATTTCAAGGCCGTATGACTATGAAGCATGGCTCTTGAGGCTGTACATTCTAAGGGTTCAGCTATACGTCGTAATACTCCTGGTTTGTGCCAGGTTTAGCATGTAATAGATTTAAAAACATCTGCCTACACAATGTACAGCTAAGCACACAGTTCTTTGGTTGGAAAGCAACTTGTTTAAAACACCCACAAGGGGGTTGTTTATTTTAAATTGTTTTTAAAAACTCAAGTTTGGTATGTGTGAATGCTTGTGTTAGAATAGTGCCTGTAGGGGTCTGCAGTGTTTACCGAAACAGGTGTTGAGTACAAGAGGCTCTGGGCTACAGGACACCTTGCAGTCCAAACTCTTCCTTTTCCTCCTTATCCATTTCTGTTTTATTGCTGCACTGATCTAGCGCTATGTCAGTTCAGAACTTACATTAAAAATTAAGTACTGAAAAACGCAAGGAGACTGGGGACAAGTGGTGGCAGCTGCTGTCACCCCCACAACTATATTAAAATGTGTGATTCTTGTTTCCCCAACCACTTGTTAGAAACTCCACCTTACTGGAACGCAGACTGCATCTTCCCTCTTGGCTCCGCAGAGCTCCTGGCGATTGAAGAAAGTGGAGTGGCTAATATTCAGGGCAAGGAGTCACCCCTACCTACCCTCCCTCCCTGTGGTCTCAGAGAAACCTTCACATAGTGGAAAGCTGGGAAACACTCCCCCTCCCTGTCTATTTACAACATAGAGACATGCAGGGGTGCAGTTTCCATGAAGATGCACACACTGACACAAAAAACATGTTATATTGATTCTAAAAAATCTGAACCAACTCCAAATTTAATTCAACAGCAGTAGTTGTGCTGCAAGTTGTAAAGGTCTTCATGAACTCCAGTTGCCAGAACCCCGTCAGAGCCCATGCTGACTGGGAGATTCCAACAGTACTATTTTTTTTAAAGTAACCTTTATAAGCTCAAGTCACGATGATATTTGATGTTGTACCACTGGTAATGTATGCAGTGTATCAGTCCTCAGCATACTCTTCATTTTGCATTTGAAAACAAAGATGCTAAACAAATGTAGATTTTAACATCATTGTATTTATTGGGTTCAGAAACAATACACATTCACATCCTTTAGAGTACAGTACATTTGGCACAGTAATAATGGCTACAATGAAATAACCCTAATGAATGGCAAGAGGTTCCAATTACAGCCTTTAAGAAAAAATATCTGTACAAAGAAAGCTGCACAATAAAAAAGAACAACCTCCCCACTCCTGTTAAACTGAATACATTTCATCCCCCCAGAACTGTTCTGCACATCATTTCAAAAGAAGTCTTTTGTTTTTAAAAAAGTTTTTTTATTATTTAAAAAAAAGTGAGTGAGAGACAGAGAGTATTATTTTTATCTATGGGGGAGGGAAACACATACATTCCCACTATGCTGTGTCTCTAAAAATAGAGAGAAAGAAAATACAATATCCTGACTACAATTTTTTTTTTTGCTTGTTTGGCATTTGCACACCTTTCACCCAGAGCTCAAATATGTTACTTTTTTGGGACAGAAAGGGCTGCACCCCCCCCCCAAACGAGCTTGGCCAGTGTGCCCATCCTTGCTGAGGGAGTAGTCCAAAAAAGTAACCTTTTTCAAGCTCTTTCTCCCACCAGGATGGGAAAACTTTACAGAAGAAAAAGAAATGTAACAGCGTGTTCATTCTCAACAAGTTCAAGGTAAAAGGCAGAGCCTGCCAAGTAGAAAAAGGACATGGACTGAATTCCTTTGTGCTGCAGAGGACTGCAGTGTATGCGCACAGCAAGACTCTTCAATTCCACTGGCCACCAATCTAGCCATAGTCATGCAGGCACATACCGTATAGATACCATCTGCTAGTCTTGGATGTGGAGGGAGCACATACCTGCCTCCATCAAAAGATGCTGCTAAACAATGTGATCATGCGATGATGATACATCATGCTAGAAATGGGGATGTATATCTCAGATGCGCATGTGCACTGCCAACATCTACCAAAAGGCTGTTTGCATGCATGTGAAGGCTTTTGGGATTTTAGCTAGAATCCCTGTCCACATTAAGGTTTTAAATTTTCTACTCAGCATCCTGCAGAAGGAAATGGCAGTGGCAGGGTCTTTAAACATACAAACGCTTATTAAGAGGTTTTTCATGCCAGGAATGAGGGAGTCATATAATCCACAAGTTTGTTTACAACAGCTTTATGGAATGTCCATGTTCCCTTTAAAAATGGCTAATCCACCTTTTGTGTAAAAGCCTTATTTCATACAAAAGGTGATGCACTGTACAATTGTTCCTTATTCAAGCCAATATATAAGCAGCTTCCAAGGGCTATTGGCTACCCCATCCCCCAAAGCTGCCCTTTCCTATGGCAGGGTTAGGGAGCACATGGCCCTTTAGGTCTTGCTGGATCCTATTAACTCAAGCAGCATGATGAAAACTGCAGTCAAATAACACCTGGAGAAACTTTACCCTATGGGGTTTAAGAGAAGTATATACCTTTACCACCTAACCTTGTCAGTTCTTGCACTGAATGTCCACAGCAAACATGTGGCAGAAGTAACACGGAGCTGGCATTACTGTGTAGAAATCTAATGGGTAGTTCTATACTACTCCCCCGCCCCCAATAAACATAAACTAATGAGATGATGTAACCTTTGTGACGTCTCTGTGCTTCCACTCCAGAAGCTAGAGGGCCTTTGCCGCCCCCCTGCCCCCTCAGCCCTTAAATGTTAACCAAGATAAATTAAGTTATTCTAAGAAGTTCAATCTATTATTACATCGGTAAGCCAGACAACACATGACTTGATACAGCATAATATTTAATATTTTGAAATCATCATATGAATACATATATGTGTATATATAATAATTACACCTGAGTCTTTTTTTTAAAAAAAATACAACACACCAACATAATGGAATTGAATGTCATCATCGCTAAGAGGTCACAAATGACCAGACGCATAACTGACACTAACCTAATCTGCCTTCTTGAGAAGACAACACAGACCCAATTTCCTAGGTGACGTTGGCTGTGTGGAAACCACAGCAGTACTGCTCTGCCCCGATGGTCTTCCAGTCGCATGAAAAACCCATGGCAGCCTTCCTCATCTTGGCACCCTCCAGCCTAGGTGGTTCTAGGAATATGGGGAATAGGCCCCGACACATCTCGAAAGCCTACAAGCTGAAGACCATTGTTCTGGGCCAGCCAGGAAGAGTCCTTACTGAGACTGCTTGTCGTGCCACTTATTCCTTTTCACGGATCAGACCTGTTATCTCTCCGTGGCAGAGGCAGCCATATTGTGAAGGAAGGTTTGCCAGACGATATGAACTCTGACAGGCCTTCTCCTATTTCAGTGGGCTCCATCTGGCCTACCCGTCACGGCAGGCTGCACTGTTTCGAACAGCACTTACAGGTAGCACCAAGGAGGCTGAGTTTTATCAGGCATTATAATTTACCAGAAAGATGCTAAGTTAAGGGCATTATGTGGAAGTAATATGGCACCTAGGTCAGAATTACTCAAAACTGGTGATGCCGGCACCCTCTCTGCTGGACATGAAGTTTCTCCCAGGTGACTAAGCCTTGTTTGGAACGTGGGAGGCAAATGAAAAAAAACAAACAAAACCAAAACACCTCACTGTTGCTGCTTCCAGGTCAGAATGAAAGGGCCTTGTGTCTTCAAACTCATAGCCTGTGCTTCTGTCAGCAAAAGTCCTTTTTTTCCTCTTTCCCCCCACTATCTCTATCATTCTATATAGAGTTTAAGAGAAGTATATAGGAGATTTAGTACAGCTTAATATAGGTCTACATCTTTTTTTGTAACAAAAAAGAAAAAAACCCTCATGTTTGACAGTAACTTGAACCAATACACAAACAGAGTATTGCACATGGACATTATCATAATTATTCTTTCATAGGCTAATTTTTTTAATAATATGCCTGAACATGCAGCAGTTGATACCTCTATATTCATTGAATTCCACAGGCCTTGCAATAAACACCTATATACAAAATCCTCACCTGTACAAAAGGCAACACCCCCGCAAAAGAAAAGAGAAAGAGAGAGAAAAGCTTTTAGAGTGCCACTCTGCCAGTCACATATATAATTTTGCAACTGGAAAATCCAAGTGCAACAAGTAAAATGGATCCCCGTAACTGCTCATTCAGTCCAGATGTGTAAGAGTGTGTGTATATGTGTGTGTATATACACACACAGAATATACATACATACATGTATACACAACCACACACACAATGACCTCAACAATACATACACCCATGTGCACGCGCACACACGCACGCACGCACAAACACAGGGTACCCCCCAGAAATATAAGTACATAACACTGTCAGCATATCTACAAGCGGTAACTTCACATTTGCTAATGTATTTTCCACATGAGTTACCATTTTAAAAAATGACTACACAAGAAAATCCATTTACAGCTCTCAGCAATGTAAGTCATAATGTTGAGTTTGAATTTTGATCTTCAGTCTCTAAATGCACTTTCACATCATGAATAGCTTTTTTTTTTTTGGCTTTGTATTTTTCCTATATAGCACAGTTTTCTGACTGGACTGACTCCCTGCCTCCAGCTGAAAAGAACAGTAGTACTATTGGGCATGAGCCAGCTGGACCCATAGTACAGTAGTACAGTATCACGTGGTCCTTTCTCTCCCCTTTGGGTTTTGGCCAGGAGCACATGCACAGCAATGCCTCAGGATCAAACTAGAAATGGCCTATTTCGACCAAATGTTGGGATGATCTTCCAAATGGTAAGAGTTATTTGACAGTAAAATGGATCGTCCTGTAGGATCAGATAATCTTTGAGTGTTTTTAGTGCTGCAAACTGGATAACTGCGTCAGGGACGCTCTAAGATTTCCTGCATTGGCAAGCAGTTTGAATAGATAAGCCTTGGAGTTCCTTCCGACTCTACGATTCTGATTTAAAATGCATGGTTTGGTGTCAGTTTGTTTTTAATTATCTGTAAGCAGCCTCTGCCAAAGGGACTGATAAGAACTGGAACTGCAGCAGGCAGTGAGAGGAGCTGAAGATTTTCTCCCATTGCTGCAGTCTGGGGGAAAATGGTCCTTTTTTATATAAAATACAGTAGGATCCTCCTATCCATGGGATAGGTATTTGTGGTTTCACTTATTCACAATGTGAAAATATTAAAACAAAACAAAACAGAAATACTGTACATATTTTCCATAATGTAGTTACCAGAGCTGACCACTAGAGATAGCCAGAGACCATGCCATGTACAGAATTCGCTATTATCTGTGGTTTGGGGCATCCATGGTGAGGGGTTTGGAACCAATCCCCTGAGGATATGGGGATCCTACTGTACATGTTAAATGCAAAGATGCATTTACAATATTTAGCCATTGCCTCCAATGGATCACTCATTTGAATTTCCCACTGCTGAATCTATGTGTTCCTCTAGGGTTATTGGTACAGACAATTGGAGTGCCCTCTTGCAGGAATCCTGAAGAGGATTGGGCTGCTGGATATACACCTGAGATGTGTAGGGGCACCTACTAAATCAAGTCAAGGCTAATGCATTGCAATATACTGCTCTTGGCCAAAGGCCTTTAATGAGGAGAGAGGGAAGGCAAAGTTTATGCTCAAAGTAGAAAGGTGCATGTCCCTCCACCCACCCACCTATATCTTTTTTGGTAAAAGCCACAAAAGTAACACACTGCTGCTAGAAGTAAAAATAAACCATTTAAAATGAGTCATTATTCAGATTCTGCACAATAAAGAATAGTTTTAAAAAATGCTCTGTGTATCTCCTTCAAACATATCACTGTATCAGTGAAATGAATGATTCAAATGCTAGTTCTCCTATGAAAAGATTGCCATGTATATGTTGAAGAATCTGTAAAATTTGAAGAAAACCTACGTCACTACTGTATTGTAGGCTTTTAGAGAATTTGTCCATTCTTTAGCCCTTTAACACCTGTCTGTAAAGCATCTGTGTTTGTTTTTTGTTTGTTTTAAAGTTTAGGTATAATTATTGAAAAAAATCTAACTTAAAACTATTCTTAGTATGTGTTAGAATATTTTTTCTTGACAACTGTATCTATTTTAGTTTTATTTTCTTTGAATCCGCTTTCTAGTATTATTTAAAACTCTACTGCTTCTCTTGCAAGAAGGGTTTTTGGTATCACTCTCTCCCTTCTTTTTTGCTTCTGCAAACATTTTTGCCCCATTTCCCCTAATCTGGCAAGATGCTCTACTATATGCATGAAAAGAAGTAACTGTGCACAGAAGTCCAGCCTCAGAATTCTGGGATAACTATGGAAATTCTGCCCTACACATGATTGCACTTCCATCACTGTTTCACTTGATTCCTAACAGACTTGAATGAAAGGGAAACAATCTCTCTTCTAAGAGGTAGTTGTGCTGTTTGGTTTCAGCATGTATTACAAAAATAAAAATAAGACCTGTGGCACATTGAAGATTAACTGATTTGTTCCAGAATGGGGGTTTTGTGGATTCCAATCCACTTCCTCAGAAAGTGGATTGTAATCTAGAAGGAGTTTATGGAAATACACCAGTCTCTAAGGTATCCCATATATTTCATTTTTTAAGCTCTGCTTATCAGCCCTGCAACTTGCATTGAGCCCAAACAATCAGTTTTGGTGCAGGCTTCAATCAAGGGTCCGTAAGCTGCCTTAAGCACTCAGAACTACAGGGGAACCCAATGAAATAATGTCACCCTGAACTCTGCTTAGAAGCCAGCTTTTCAGTCTTACTAGTCAAAATTGGAGAGAAATGAAGGAGTGCTTAAACCCTTTTCTTGAACAAGCTGTTCTACTTAACTAAATGGCCAGAATCCTGTTGAGAAAAACCACATAAACAGCAGCAGTTTTGTCCTTTGACAGGCTGTCCTTTGCAGGATTGGTTGCACAATCTATCCTTCATCCAGTGTATGAGTGGTCATGTAATGGACATCCTACCAAGGAGCAGGAATTGCATGTGTGCTTACTGCTGCATAATGCTTTTTCCCAACAGGATTCTAGTGAAAGGCTCCTAAATGCTCCCACATAAAAGGTTCTAGATATGTGTTCACCCAGGAATCAGAAATCTAAAATAATTTGGGTAGAGATGGTGGGAAATAGGAATTGTGGCATGTAGGTAAGAAGTATGGACCTTGTCCCTGCTCCTCAGTTCTGAAATGCAACCTCCTGAGGATCTCCTTTACTGAAATGAAATACGGCGATATTTTTGCTGAAGAAATAGGGCTCATGAGTATCTATTTGCAGTATGTACTTTCAAGCTTCCATCCCCATTCAGTTGGAATCTATGGCAAAGCTCTCACTAATTTCAGATCTTCACCTCCACCTGATCTTCTTCAATATTCAGGGAGTAAACATGTTCAAATGTTTGTCCATATGCCACCACTGCATCTTTGAAAATCTCTTACTATTGAAGCTTATGAGAAGGATGTCTCTTAAGACTATTTTTTTTCAGTATGAAAAATGAATAGGAAAAAAAAGCACCCATACATACCTTTCCAGTGCCTTTTTAAAAGAATAGAGTTAACTGGGAATTTAAAAAAAATCAAACTGAGAAAAATAGGAAATAAGCAGCAAGAAACAACTGCAATGTGTTACCTTTGCAAATTCTGATACAACATATTTTGCATTGCTTGATGAGCCAGATATTATGACAACCTCCAGATCAAAGACAAAAGGAAATAATAAATAGATAGATAACAGTATAAAACTGGGACGTGGGGGGGAGGCTCTGGGCTCAAGGTCAGAGAAGTAGTTCTTGACGTTATAGCTGGAGAATCTTTTCAGAATCAAATCCTGTAGTGTCAATGACCGAGTGGTCCTGGTTTGAGTAGAGGGAGGGTTATTATGGCAGCAGCTCTTCTCCAAAGTATGAGAAGCCTTTAAATTCTTCTTGGTTGATTTGCTTTATGATTGCTTCATCCACTTGTGTTAGGACTGGGTCCTCTCGTGTAAAGTCTTGATCAAAGTTATTTACATCCCTTTTGGTTTTCTAGAAAGAAAAGCAGACAGTTATGGGTGAGAGGTTGTTTTATACTAACAACCAGAAGCTCAAACAACCATTTTTGGTGGGTTGAGTGGAGTGAGAGGATTGGGTTAAAGTCGCTTGCTTTGTTCACATGGCTTCTAAAAGAAGTCAGTGTTCTAAAATGATATATAAATAAGATCCACTTCATACAAGAGAATATGAAGATGACCAAGCAAGATCATGGAAGCAAAAATGGTTTTGAAAAGCCAGTTTGCCTCTAATTGAGATGTTAAGAGCAAGGAGATGGCATAGTGGATAGCTGAACATATGACACTGTGCAGCAATAGTTTTGATAAAGCATGGATTCAAACCTATCCTATCTGCAGATGGGTATCACCTGTTCACTACACATCTTGCTGCATTAGATGACAGTATCACAAGTGGATCTTCCCAAAGTTACTTTTTTGAACTACAGGTCCCAGAATTCCTCAGCCTTCACATGCACCATGTTGGCTAGGGGGCTCTGGGAGTTCTAGCCTGCAAAAGAAGGGGGGGAATGAACAATCCCTCCCAAACCATTGTTCCAAGATCTGGTGTCTAGGTGCTTTCTCCAGCTGCCACAGCACTTCTTCTATGACTGGCTTGCTGAAATGTCAAATTCCTGTGATCCAAGTGCACAAATGGCCTGGGGACTGTCTAATGGTCTCTAGTTGATCCCAGTGTAAGATCCCAGTATTGATGGGAGCTAGACCAAACTGTAGGATCAGCATGGCATGGGGTGGCAAAGCCATCAGGCTGTATTCAAAACATTTGAGATAGCAAAGTAGAACCCTGGTTTATCATAAGCATAAGCCATCAAGTCAAATCTGACTAATGGCGACCATTTTCTGGGTTTTTCATATAAAGAGTACTCCTAAGTACAGTGGTGCCTATCTTAATGACGATAATCAGTTCCAGGAAAATCACCATTAAGCGAAAACATCGTAAAGCATAATTAAAAACCCCACTGAAATGCATTGAAACCCGTTCAATGCATTCCAATGGGGTAAAAACTCACCGTCCAGTGAAGATCCTCCATACGGCGGCCATTTTCGCTGCCTGTATAGCGAGGAATCCGTCCCTAAGCACAGCGGGGAGCCATTTTAAGCACCCAGCAGCCATTCTGAAAACCCGACGATCAGCTGTTTTTGATCGTCGTAAAGTGAAAATCGGTTCCCAAAGCAGGGAACCGATCATCGCTAAGTGAAATTCCCCCATTTAGACCATTGTTTTGCGATTGCAGTTGCGATCGCAAAAACACTGTCATAAAGCAGATTCATTGTAATGCGGGGCAATCGTTAAGTGGGGCACAACTGTAGTTTTTCCATTCCCTTCTGGTGGGGCCCTGGGACTGTGCAACTTGCCCAAGGCCACACAGGCTGGCTCTTTTCCCTGGGGAATTGAACTCCCAACTTCTGGCCCCACAACCAGATACCTAAACTACTTGCAACTGTCTGAAGAACTGTAGAATGCTGTCCTCTCCACATGAGTCAGAACCCCAGTTCTGGTTTTGGCTCATGCAGAGAGGCTACCTGACTAAAAAAAGATAAAGAGCTAATGGTATCATGCTCCTCTAAAGGCATGTGGATTCTACACACTTTAAAGCACAAACAAAGAGGGTTTAAGTCATCTATGAAATGTATCATGCTTCAGATTCAGATTTAGAGCTCTGCTGGAGAAAACAATCCCCAGCATAATTCTTAGCCCAACAGATTTCAAAGTACGAGGCAAATTTTCATGAAGCCTGACAGACCCTGCTAACCCCTCTCTTGACTTGAGATTCTCTTTCCATCATTTCTCTCCCAGAATACCTGAGAACAAGGATAGTTCTGGGATGTTGTGGAGCAGTGGTCAAGCTGCAAACATTATTGTTGGTCTTGCAGCAACAAACAAAAGATGATGGCCTAAAGGAAGAGAAACCAGGCTATTGTTTTTGAAAAAAACTGTTCAGTACATTTCTCCCATGGAGAAATTTACTGAAATGGTCCTCCTCAAAGTCTCTTTCAACATCAGAGCATTTCAAGAGGTTCTACCTATGTGACATCTATAACTGCTCTGTAACTCTTTTTCCTCTCAGTTCCAACCTCCCCCACCTCACCTCTGGTTCTCAATATAGGCTTACTCGTTTTATTTCCAAATTGTGTTAGGGATCCTTATCCAAGTCCCTTCAAACCCTTCTCATGAAAATAGAACCCTTCCCCCCGCCCTTTTACATATACTTGGCACAGAGACAAAGACTGCTGCCAGGTAAGCGGTCTGTCCTACACTTTGTCATATATATAGGGAGCCATGCATTGTTATTTTTATGTCAGCTTGTGCACATCACTAACTTCTAATGACTTCTTTTGGTTACTGAGAGTGAAATGGAAATTCTATGGTTAAAGTGTCTGGAATAGAAAGGGACTCTACAAGCTGGTAGAGGATGAAGCAGAGAAATTCAGTCGCTAGAAACCAACGTGCATTTGTGTGACCGCACACCTCCCAGAAACACTTACAACCCCATTGCCCCAATTGAAATTTCTTCACAAATATTATCATTATAAATCCCTACTATTATCACAGATGGGAGAGATATATGTTTCCGTTCTTCCATTAAATAGGAAAACATGCACAGAAGATGTGTGAGTGACTCAATTATTTTGTGTTCAAGCTTGAGGACTGGGGCTGAACTGTTGCATTTTAGTGTATTCCTATAATTCTCCAGTCCTGTCAAAAACCTGGGCATTGACAGTTTTTCTAAATTTAAAATGCAACTGCCATGCTAGCCTGTTCACTGTGACCACAATTATTGGGGGTGGGGGAAGAGAGATGTCCCAGAGGACAAATGGAGTGGTAGCACTCCCTTTTGCCAGGTGACCTAGGAAAATGGCCTAACAAAGAGAGAATTAGAAGTGTTTCACAATGGTTGATAATTCTGGCCATAATGAGATTTCAGGGCCCTCAGTTTCGTGGTATTTAAGAAATGGTGTCTCACAGTGACAAGAAGAGTCACATTAGTTGTTCCTAGTCTCCCACTGTATATCATTTGAGAAATACTTTTTACTGGTTTGAATTTAAAGCTAAACCAGTCCCTGATGCACGCCAAAATGAAGCTCAGATTATTTGCCCTTCCTTCCTTCCTTCCTTCCTTCCTTCCTTCCTTCCTTCCTTCCTCCCTCCCTCCCTCCCTCCCTCCCTCCTTCCTTAAAACGGATCCTAGGGAGTTTACATCATTAAAAGACAATGTTTAAAGCTAAAACAGCAAGTATACAAATATCAACAAGGATCAAACAAACATCGCACTAAAAGACAGTAAACAAAAGCAACACCAAAAATACATTAAAAGCAGTAAGGCACAACAATCCATTAAAAAACCCCACTCAGGCAGCCTGTCATTAAGGAGAAACCTGCCTAAAGAGAAAGGTCTTTGCCTGCTTGTGGAGACACACAAAGATGGAGCCAACCTGACCTCATGTAGGAGGGAGTTACAAAGTTTAGGAGCAGCAACATAAAATGCCTTCTCCTGTATCCCTTCCAAACGCACCTGTGAAGGTGCTGAGACCAAGAGAAAGGCCTCTCCCGATGATCTTAACTCCCAAGTAGGGTCATAAAGGGTGCCACGGTCCTTGAGATAAACCTAGCTATAGATGAAAATATAACCTAACACAAACATAAACAATGGTGGCAAAATAAAGACAATTAACCCATAAGCAGCGGGCCCCCAGAGTTTAGCGAAACAAGGTTAAGCAAGAGTAAGACCGTGGAATGCCTGAGTGAACAACCACAGCTTGACTTGTTTCCTAAAGCCGAGGAGGGAAGGGGCCCATCGCATCTCCACTGGGAGGGAATTCCATAACGAGATGGCCAACACAGAGAAGGCCTGGTTCCTGGTTGTAGATTTCTGGGCCTTCCTTGAGGTGGCCCCCTGTAGCTTCATGAATTGGGAGGTGCAGTTGGGACAGGAGGTCCCTCTGGGGGGAGAGATGCTCTGAAAAAGTAGCAAGGTCCTAAACTGTTTGGGTATATTTCAGGAGTGTGGCGAGGTAGGATTTTATTCTTCTAAAAGAATCAGAAAAGAGTCAGGAGGTGAGGCTGAGGAGCCTGACGCCAAGAGAGGCCCAGAAGGAAAAAACAAGAAACCGGGCCTTCTCGGCGGTGGCTCCTCGCCTCTGGAACAATCTGCCTCTGGAGATTCGCGTGGCCCCCTCGCTGGGTATCTTTAAAAATCAATTAAAAACGTGGATGTTTCGGCAGGTCTTCCCTCCAGCCAATTCCTGATGCTTTCCTTTCCTTTTTTACTGTTCGTCTTCCATCTTGCTGAATTTGTTTATCATGTAAAAACCCTTTTCTATTTTTATCTGTGTGTTTTATGTTGTTAGCTGCCTAGAGTGGTCGTAATTGACCAGATAGGCGGGATATAAATAAAATAAAAATAAATAAATAAATAAAATCAATCTCATCTAGGACCCAAAATGAGATTGATGTTTTTCTTAGCAAGCACAAATCTGATTATCCAAAGCTCGCAGGTGCTTCCCAGGTACTCTTAACATGAGCATATGGCTTGTATTTACATAAACCAGACACTGTAGCATATGGCACTATTGCTATCTGACTTCTTTTATTCTAGAGCATAAATAATTATCTATAGCAGCATAGCATTATCTATAGTATAGATAATGCTATGTCTTCTTGCCCACCTGCTGGTAAGTACTAGAAATTGGCACCAGTGTGCATGGGTATGTGTGTAAAAGGGAGGTCATAACTGGAGGGTACAATACCTCCCCATCCTGGTCTGTGAGCCATCCCTGCTGGGGCTACATATGTAAACAGAATCGGGGCAAGAGGCTCATTCCACTTCTCCTTGAAAATCTGAGCAAGAACATTTGAGTTGGCAAACCCCATTAACTTGATTAACTCCTGTTGTCACAGTCTTTTGTTACTCAATAGATGCTTTCATTTAATAAGTATGGAAATTTAAGGTTTAAAGATGCAGAATAAATATTATG